CAAAGCAAACCTGAACGTCTGTAGCTGTTGTCTCAAAATGGGTTTGCTGCACTTTTTCTTGGATATCTCGTATAGTCAGTCTCGTCTGTCAGCCGTATGTGCTTTTATTGTATTCAGAAAATATTCATATATTAAAAAAATATCGACGTCCGTTTTGATATTTGCAAAGGAGCTGAGTTGCAATAATGGATCCGGTTGCACTTCGTTTTACTTGGTGGACACAACCATTCAGAATTCATTAGATTTCATTCATGAAAATGATTTTATTATAATTTCCAATTTTAACAAAAATTTGTGTTGCCTTTTTATTTGGGCACGCCAGAGAAGCGTGGGCATGTGTGAATGTAAGTAGCATATGTGTCTGTTTGTTGGCAGAAAGTTATGTGCGTGCACCTAATGGCTGACACCAACTGTGAATTACGAATGTGATTAGATAGCAACGAATTCATTGGGAGGTGTTAAAAGGCAACTCATTTTTGTACTTAAATTACCATTATTAGATTTTGCATATAATCATTTGTGATTTTTGTTGTTGTTGTTGGTGTGGATGTTGTTTTTGTGTTTTGTGCGGATATGAATGGTATGAATATGTTATAATCGTAAATTTAAGTATATATGTTATATGAATGGAAAGCTGTGGCAAAAGAATGCAACAAGCATTTCGTTGACTGTTAACTGGCAGTAGCCATTGCCTGTAGCGATAGTCTCACATTTTTAAATTTATCCTTGCTCAAGTGTTCATGTCAATAGGGAGTTGGTGGCTTCTTGTTGATTATGGTTATTTTATTTAATGTTTGCTTGTTGAAGTTATCAACGTACAATTTGTAATCTTTAATTGAAACTGAAGTAAGAACATTAAAGTTTTCATTCCTTACAGAAATAGCAGTAGGGACAGATGTTTATATGTTATTATTAAATGTTGATGGCTATTTTAGAGGACTTCATTATGTAAATTTGATGTGACAAGTATCAATTTAATTATAGTTAATTTTATATGTGTGTATGAAATAAATTGTACTTTTAATAAAGAATATATTTACATGAATTTTATAAGCGTTATATTTTAAGTCCAAGAAGACAAATAAATTTGACTATCATTATAAATGTTTGTTGTGTAGATACGGAGTACCCTCACGATTTCTATATCCTGCTGCTTGAGAAAATTTCGGTTGAGAATGATATTGAATCTGACATAAAATAAAGTAATACATATACATATAAAAATATGATATCGATAGATATCAATAAACTAATTATAATAGATTAACAGATATTAATAGATTACAGATTTATTCATGTATACATACGATATGTATATATTATTTATGATTTTATTAGGTTATAGTTATATTTTTTTTTTAAGACATTGCCATTATAATTAAAGCTGTAATATGCAATATAATATTGTATATATATAGCATCTATTAAGCTTTATATATATATATATATATATATATAAAATTGTAATAGAAAATCTATGTTTGGTTATTATAACTTTATGACTTCATTTAAAACTTTATTTATGATCATTTTAGTTTTATAGCAATTTCTATTTATTTATTTTAATTAATCTATAAATATATACATTGAAATCTGATAAATATGAATTTATATCAACATGATAGAAAAACTGAGCATGGTCATTATAAATTATATTTTACAGTAAGTTTTATTTATTATTTAATTAATTAATGTTTACTAATTTTAAAAATTTAAATTTCAAGTTTCATATTAAAATGGTTTGAAATTTTATAGTCATGTTTAGTTCTAAGCTTCTTAATATATTCTACTCATATTTCTCAATACATTATTTCTCTAAGTGAATTGGGAAAGTTTAACATGTTGAGTTATGCGTAGCATAGTTATGATATAGGTGTTTAACATTTTAATTATTTAAATAGTGTCTGCTTAGTTATGTTATAAAACTAGTATACAATATGTCATGATTTTTTCTATTACCCCAGATTCTGATAAAAATTACTCTGTCAGTTTTCTTTTGGATTAAAAAATACAAGGTAGTTAGAAGTCGGCAATCGTCTTAGACAGTCGCATATTGTCAAAATAATAACCTGTCAGATAACTTTACAACAATCTTAGCTCATTTCCACAGAGGGATACTACATTGTAGTTGTACTGATGAATCAGCTCTTTAGTCTGATAGTTACCTGCAGTGTCAAGCTAGTACCGTCTTTTTTTTCTTACACTTTTTTAGCAGAGACCTCATTGTGGATCACCTTATTTTTTATTAAAGTTTCGAACTAGAGAATTCAATGGTTGATTCCGTCCTTGCGAGATTGTTCTATATTGACCAGTCACCCAACAAAGCACTACCTTGTTCCTTTTTAACAGTTGCAACAGTTTATTATGGCAATTAGATTTCGAAGGGAATTTCCAAGAGACCAATGTTTTTATAACCTTTTGTTAACTTCACTGCAAGCATAGAGGGTGTCAACTTTCGTTTTAACGAGATTGGGTCAAACAGTGCGAACGTAATGCTGCTGTTGAGGCGGAAGATACCTACACCATATCTTTTTTCAGTTTTGGGACCGTCAAAAAACAAAGCTTAAGTAAAGAGTTTACTTTTGCTTATTAATAAAGGCTATTATTATTCTTCTAATCCATACGAACTGAAATAAAGATTTCATTCTTTTTACCAAAATTAAATACCATGTTCATGGTTTACTTTGTCAAGAACCAGTCACAAATATGTTTTCAACTGGCAATATTTAAGTGCATACTGGTAATAGATGTAATTTAATCATATTTACTTTCTTATAAGTATAAATTTTAAGAGGAGTTATTTTTTAGACTACATTCTTATTAATGAAGAAAGTTTGATTCTTAGTATTGGTAATGGGGGTTAATGACAACCCCCCAAATTATTTATAAACTCGAGTACATATTGAAGCCAATTGATTTTTTCGGATAGTCGCAGTTTGTAAAGTTTATATGTAGTTGTACTTTTGAATTAAGTTTTATAAAACTGTGGTCCTGTAGTAATTATTATTAATAATATTATTAGTTAGTTGTAAAAATTATGTGACGATATATAAAAGTTTAAATATTTTAATCATATATTTGGGAATAACTAGAAAGGCATTCATTTATTATTCTATATGAACGACATCGTATACTATATGAACCACTGGTTGCTGTATACTGCATATAATATATATCTTTTTCATAGACTTAATTATTAATATTAATATGCAATAATTAACTAATATATATAAAGATGTAAAAGTTATATCAATTGTACCATGTATAGCAGGATAACGTCTACTTGTGAGAATATTCATAAAATGTTAATTTATTATGTATTTTAATATATTTGTTTAAAAATTATTTTCATATATAATACACGTTATGTTTTAATATATTATTCTTTACTACTTACCCTATCTTGACAAATTGTGTATGAATTTCTTTTGAAATCAATTAGCATATTTAATTCCTTTTAAAATCAGTCTACGCCCACAATTAGTAGCCTGTCTTAATAAAAGCTGAACAAAGGCTTGATACGTGTTAGTACCTGCTGCAGATGCGAACGTGCTACTACCAGTAAGCCCGGCCAGCGCTGAAGGATACTTAATGACAATATCGCATTAGTGATCGTTAAAATTTCTTGAAACAACGTAAATCCAAACAATCTGACAATCATTAAGAAATTCGATATGGAGTAGTGTTGTTGGCTTAACGTACGCTGGCTTACCTACTTGTCAACAGCGACCAATTTGCATATTGTTTCTTCATTGCCATACTCCTTGAGCTTGTAATCAGTACGCAGTGATCTTGACGGCTCTACACGCCTTTTAAAATGATATTAAGCATAAGTCACTTGAACACTGGCCAAGCTCTTCCAAATTGCACTGCGTCGTACGGCTCCATTATTTTCAATATCGCTTGCGTAAAAATCGGTTGTATCGTTCAATGAATGAATGGTTGGCGTTCAAACAGCTACAGGGCTTAGATTCATTCCTCTGTACCGAGATTGAAAGTTAGTGTTGACAGTGCGTAAAATATGAAATGTGGATTAAAACCGATAAGAAATTGCAAAATATCGAATAAAATTAAATGAGAAATTAATATTTTTATAAAATATATTTTTATAGTTATTTGTATTGCCTTAAATTTTAATTAGTTTTCTATGAATTCTAAAAGAAATCTATTAAAATGTGACAACCACAATTATTGTGTTTTATTGAGTGACATGCCCAATTTTAAGCATGCTAAATTGATCGTTCACACAACGGATTTTTTAACTTTTATTGGATTCATTCCCTATTTGAGATTTACAATTCGTTATGGTCATCAGACCAGCGCATACCTGCGCTGATATGCTTTAGTTTCTTACATCGAGCCTTCTTTGCTTTTGTGGAGTTTTTTCTTTACGAAATTTCAATTCATTTCTTTGTTTTGAATGTGAGTTAGGTATAGTTTCCCTCAATGTGTATTTTGTATATCAGATTTAAAGTTTTAAGCAAATACTACAATATCTTAACAGCAAACGTTCGTTCAGTGTACGTTTCCTTTTGCCTCTCGTAAGCCACAATAAAGGCAAGAGCAAAAGCGGTATCTGAAATCGGACTGTGATAAATTGAAAATTAATGAAGTGAAAATAGATGGAACGGATCGCAAATTGCGCCAAGCCAATAAAATATTTTGACATTTGGAGTTATCGTCTTAATCTGCTTCGCTGACTTTTCCTCTAGTCGGCGCTGATCGAAGATTGCAAGGTTGGGTTTTGGTTCTTATATAAATAAATTTCTTACTTTTATTTTTAGCTGTGCTTTGTCAGTTTGTTTGCCGTATTTTCGCTGAGCAAAAGCGAATTTTTTGACTTTTTGCTGCGTATCTGACTCGTTTCTTTTTAGGTCTCACAAATCACCTGTTTGAAAATTCCGCCAGTTTCTTATATGCTTAATATTTTTTGAACTTGTTTTCACTTAAAGTATAACTTAAAGTAAAATAACATAAAAACATTTTATTTTGTTTTGCAGTTACTCGGCGGTGTAGGTCAAACCACAACAGCAGCGTCAAGTATACCAACAACAGTCAATAACGGCTCTGCACCTTCACCACTGTCTGGTGCAAACGATGCTTCGCTTAGTCCATCTGGAGGTTCGGCGACAACTGGTGCCACTACCAATGGACCGCTTAGTCCAGGTGCAATTTCACAAACATCAAATAATGCAGGCAGCGTATCTGCAGTAGTAAATTCTGCTGCTGTTGGTGTTAGCATGAATGAATCACAAAGTGAAGCAGCTTTATCCGGCTCAGCTGCTGGTATCGCTGGTGCTGTTAATGCAGGTATTGGTAGTACAACTTGTTGTGAAAATGGCAGACCAATAATGACGGATCCAGTCTCAGGACAAACAGTGTGCTCCTGTCAATATGATTCTGCACGCTTAGCGCTTTCAAGTTATTCCCGTATGCCGGCAGCAAGTGTTGGCGTTTATGGCACTCCATATCCTTCAACCGAACAGAATCCTTATCCAAGCATTGGTGTCGACAGTTCAGCATTTTATTCGCCTTTGGTAAGTTCAGTTTTAGTTTCACATTACAAACTTGATCTTCTTATTGTATGCTTATTATGCTTTTCATTACTATTGATACTTCTGATACCAATGGTAACTTGTTGAAATTTAATTGGATTAGAAAATGGTTGTTGCGTACGTACGTTTTTAAAGCATGCAAAGCAAGTCATGCTCCACGCAAGACAGTTTATGACTTTTAATTGGATTTAGAAATTAAATGCACCTGACGAACTGGCGTCGTCTCTTTGAAATTGCATTAATTATCAAAAGATTAAAATAAGGCAAAGGGTAATCTTAAATGTATTTGCTGACTGTAGAGTTATTGAGGTATGCGTACGACTAGACTTACGTAAATAGCAGGAACTCGGTACTATATTCTACATATAAACATATACATAACACTCTAAGTATTATTTACTGTTGCTGCTTATTTAGTTGTGGTTATAAATATGTTTAGATAAATCCATACAGATTTAAAGTATACTTGGGTATCAAAGTCTAAGAGTAGAGTAAAATTCCTTATAGCAATTTTCAATAAGTACAAGAGACTTAAGATTAGACCTGTCAGCAGAGATTAGAACAAATTGATGAATTTTATACTTTATATATTGATTTTAATGCAATTTAATTTATGTTTTCACAATTTTACTTCTATAAAATATGATGCCCATACATATATTGTGTACTTTATCAAAAATCAATTTATGCACACACATAAACAACATAGTAAAGTTAACCAAACTAAAGTATGTATAAATTCATTGCTAAACATTGGTCAATCTATGAAATTGTTTTTGTATTAAACTGAATAAAAACAAACACTAAGGAAAATTCTCGAAGCGTTTGCAGTGCATTTTGTGGCACTTGTCTGCTTGCATATCGATTGCATCCTGTCCATCTCAATGGCAGGATGGTACAAACTTTAGGGGTGTATGTAATTTTATTTTAGTAGAACAATGACATTTATTGAAAATAATTCATTTTGTTGGCTTTGTTTGATATTTCTGTTATGTAAACACACCTTCACACCTTGTTTCGTTTAATGTTTTCAAACACTTTCAATGACTTTCCAAAAAATAGTTTCAGCGTTTCAAGTGCCATAGTCTATTAAATGAATGGCGCACCCTACAGGCGGTCGAAAAACATTATTTGATGGGTGCATTGTAGTATATTCGTATAGAATTTTATATTGAATGTGTGATGGAATTGTATATTGTAGATGTTGAGGTCTCTAACTAGTTTAATTAAATTATTATTAATGAATATATAAATGAATATATATATTCATGGATTGTCAAGACATAAATACTCTGTAATTGTATGTTTTTAATTTATAAATGTGAGTAAAGCTAAGGTGACTATATGTTTTGTGTACAATGGGACTATTTCATTATCCCGACGGACACACCACCGTTTCGTCTAAAATCTGTGTAAGAGAATGTACGTATATGAGCATATTATCTCTGTTTAAAATCTGAAAGTGTCTGTAGGATACTTGGTTATGATATTAGCACGACTGCTCTGCTTTATGGTATATAGTTTACCTTATGTGTATATATACTAGGAGTTATTAACAAATGTGAAATATAGTATTTATCTGCACTTATAGAGTAATAAACAGATATACGAATTAACATTAAAAAAGAACAATGCAATTCAAAAAAAAAATTGGTAGATAGATCTTTAACTGACTTTTACAATACTATAAACAAACAACACCAACATCTAGCAGACCAGCAACGTATATTATTTAATATAAATTTATTTTATAATTGAAATAATCTATGTATATATTTAATAAGCCTATATATTTTTCCTTATATAAATGAGATTTTTACTCGTATAAGTTGTTTATTGCTTACACCTGAAAACATTTGAATCAATTTTTTTAAAATTTGTATGAACATTAGTGGAGCAGAGAGAGAGAGAGCGAGAGAGAGAGAGAGAGAGAAAGAGAGAGAGAGAAAGTCCATGTTTGGATTTAATAAATGGAACCCGTGTGGAAAGATTTGTTCAATAAGAAGAATTAAGTTAAAAAACTGAACAACGGACAAAATGTTCAAATTGGTACTACTGGGTGGTATGCTAAAGAGACATTCCCAGAAATGATGAAAATAGGAAATGAATACGATATTCGAACCAAAGGAATACATAGAATGTCATGATATGTTCTGTACATGAACTGCTCCCTTCAAATTATATGTTATGCAGATTATAATTTGAGGTTATCATGATGAGCAGTAGCAAAACGAATATAGAAATTTGTGTTACTTTTGTCATAATTTTGTTTTCAGTGAAGAATTTTCATAAACCCTTTAATTTTAAAGAGGAATACTCTTATAATATGGCCACACTCCAATGTAAATAATAATATTGGGCGACAAATAGGTATTGAAATAGATTCGATTGGTATTGAAATAGGCCAGATCTATGTGTTCAATTATCTTATAGTCACACTTATAGTCAGATTTAGATATCAGTACAAAACTTATCCACAATTTTTGTGTTACCGAAGTATATATTCATACTGGACATACTTTCCTAAATTGATGGAAATTAATTTGACCATGATCGTAAATAGAACTTTAATTCTAAAAATGTCTGTATGTATAAAGTAAAATTTTTTTATCATTAGCATACCGTTTCATGTTATAGAACTATATAAAATTCGATCTATAGTATTAGGTTATACTATTTACTGTTATAAACATAGTACTTAGTACGATCTTTGATATCATGTTAAGGAACGATATATATAAGATTTATATCATTAGCGTATATAGGGACTTATTTAATGAAAATTTCACAAACTAATATAAATATCATATGTAAGCATGTCTAAATCGTCTAAAGTGTCTAAAGTGTCTTAGGCTGTTTAAACACCCAATATCACGTCCTTGTATAAAACACTGGTTTACGTAAAGACGTTTGAGTATAACAATAGTTCCTGTGATTTTTTACTCAACATACCACGACCACACTGTTGCGCTTAATTTCATAACGAAACAATTATTCATAAGAACTTTAGTTGCAAATACTTAGGCGATATATTGACGCCGCGTTATCAGCTATCACCTACTATTAGTTAGGCACACAACTAATAGTTTGTTAAAATCGTATTTTACAGATTTTATGTAATTTTATGAAATTGTCAGATTACATCGTTATATGATTTTCTTACTAATTTGACAAGGTATTTACATATCTTGCTAGAGAATCATGTGAACTTCTTGTAGAATAGGTCAACAGCAGGTGCGACATTATTCAAGTATTGTGTCATAGTAAACATATCAGTAAAAGATAAAAGATTTGCTTTTATATAAGATATTACTAAAAGCATCAAAAGTGAAAATATTAATTGATATATCATGTGTTAGTCTAATTTTTTTATTAAACTTGAACAATATTTATAATATACTGAAGAGAATCTATCTATCTGCTTTATTTTTATAGAGTAACCCATATGCACTGAAAGAAACAGGTCCAGGCTCTGATATGACAGCTTGGACATCTGCTGGTCTTCAACCAACAACTGGTTACTATTCTTACGATCCAACATTAGCTGCTTATGGGTAAGTACAGTAAATATATTCTAATATATTTATTTAAACAATTAATAATTAAAAATCTTGTAAACATTTTGTTTGCATTTTATTAATTTCGTTTTATTTGTTGTATTTGAATCAATTAATAAATTATTTGAATGTATAAATAAATATTTATTACTGAAACATTAAGTTTATTATGTAAAATTATTAAAAGATATACAATAATAAATTCAGAAACTTATTCAAGCCGTAAATTATTGTGTATTAAAAAACAAGTTAATAAATCTTAAGTTGATTTTTATGAAGTGTTGAAATTCTTATGTACAACTACGAAACTGTCACAGGCGTTTTGCTTATCATGATGCATTACAGCGGCTCTGGGTTCCTAACAGAAAGACAATATGAGGGGTCACTGAGCGGAAAAGCAGCAATAAAAAGCATTTTACTTAAGTAGCTTGATATGGTGTGAATGATTTATGGCGGTTAGAAGAACAGATAATTTTATATAAATACTCAAAGATTGTAGTTTAACTTTATTGAATTGGCTTCGCGTGTAAAGCAAATACAAATTAAATATTTATTTAAAATGTTACTTTGCGTATCTAATTCAGTTTAATGCGATATTCTATAATTTTTAAAAGTATCTGATTCTTTTTGTTTTAAATAAGTATGCCCAGCAACAAATCTTACGGGATTTCTGATTTAAATCCTTGGATTTGTTTCATATGCTTGTAGAAAATCAACCAAACTGTTCCCAGTAGAGAAATCTAAAACAACCAACGTCTGCGGTTACAAGCAGAATACCAATAATCAAATCCCTGGAATATTCTTTTTGTCGAAATTCTAACTTAAAAAACTGTGAATTCGCATGCGAACTTAATTCACTTAGTGGAAGTGTGTGCTAAAGTGTAGGTTTTTTCTTATTTTCCTTTCGATTTCGTGGTTGGCATTCAACAAGTGCAAAACCTTCTTGGTAAAAATCTTTGTTGCGTACTATGAAGTTGCCTCAAATAGGATTTTTTTGCTCGAGTTTACAGTACGGAGAACGATGCTATTATCGTAGCGGATATTTCAAATGTTCAGATTAAAATTCCGAGTGCGTTTCTCGCTAACTGTAAATAACTGAGTCCAGGCTAAGGCGATTGAAGCTTTGGTTGGATTAATGCATAAAAAGTGGAAAGAAATTCAAAATCGTGTTGTGGTTAAATGGATTTTTAAATATTTTTTTTTTACTTTATTTTGTACGTTTTAAATTTTAAATTTATCCACTAAAATCATAAGACTTAACTTAAATTTACTACATTTAAATATTCTTATAAGTGAATTAAAAAAAATTTGTTTTCATACCAACATATTTTAAATGGAATTAATTGTATATAATTTGAATCAATGAAGTGATTCCGATTTGCGGACATCGATTTAATGCGTGATTTTAAAATAGTTAACTATTTTAAGCATAGACTATAGCATGCTTCATTAAGATATCGAGTTCAAAGTTGTAAAATCTTTACATTAATTACATAAAAAAATACAACTGCTATTTAGTGCGAATTAGTATAAGGAAGTTTAGCATTACTTATGCAAACGAAGAGATGCACACATGGTTGGTAGTTTTCATTTTAGTTAGTAGAAAATATCAACTTTAAATGCCCATATAGCTAACTTTTCGAGATATCAAGGTTTAAAGTTATAAGCTTTTTATATTGATTATAGTTATAAAAAAACTACAGCCGCAATTTTGTACAAACATTAAAAGTAATTTTTACTTTGATTATTGACTTGAAAGCTTTTATTTATTTTTTTATTACTTCTATACTTCAAAATAAAATACACTATATGCTATTATATTGTTTACTTTTAAATGAGATAAACTTCTTGAATAGAAATTTGACAAGAGTTTATTTTTGATTATGAATATAAAACAATGTTAAAGGAGAGATGGAGTGAGACAACAATATCTAATAATAAGAGTGCTTCCATTGCGTAGGAATAACTAAAATTGTAGCTTATTTTTTGAAAATATTGGCAAAAAATATGGAGGAAAATAGTTTCAGTATATATATGTATATATATCAGAATATAATTATGATATTACTATATATCATACTATTATTTATAAAAGGTTAATCTGTTTCGATTTGCAACCTATTGAATGAATTAGATTGTATGCCAGCAATTATTTTTCATACGTCGAACAGATTCACTTTTTATGCTTACTAAGAAAAAAGGACCTCTTTTTTTTATTTCACTGTTTATAAGATTGTCGTTGCTGTTAATGTTCATTTAAGTAAGTAAGTAAACATAGTCCTTTAGTATCTGAATTGTGTATCTGAATTAACTATCAGCGTCTACTGCTAAAATGGCGGTAAGTTCTTAGTTTAATACTTTCTGAATGTCTGCATATCTGCCGGTAGTGACATAGATTGGTTTCACCAAAGGGATAGCGGTATTCAAATGACATACAATGAGCTTAAAAAATTTTAGTGCTTTATTACATTTATATATTGCTGAGCTCCCTAAACGGAGATCACTATCTAGGTCTGTTAAATTGATGTACCATTGTGCTTTCATGAATCATTTGTTCTTTTTAAAGTTCTGTTTTCATAAAGAAAGACACTTCCTTAGCATATTCACCTAATGCTTTAGGACATAATGCTTATAAAACTTAAAATGCAGTTTTTTATTTTCAAGAAACCTACATTTATATAAATTGTTTACCAAATAATATTCAAAAAAGTTGACCTGTTGAATGGCATCCATGGTATTTTATATAAAATCAAATGTTTTCTTTCAAATGTTTCAAATGTTCTCAAATCAATTCTTTTTTGTAAATATTAGTTCTTTTTTTTGCTGTCACGACCTTCTATCACGCATTTCTACTTTGATAAGGTTGCCTATTACCACACACTTTTTCTGTCTCTATTTACAGGGACATGGAACAGAGATTTATCTCTTGTGATATTCTGCATTTTTCTTACATGACTAAGCCCATGATATGATAACAATTTTGTTACGAAAAATAAGTCAAGCCAATGTTCAACTTCGCAATTTCTGTAGTAAATGAGTTTTCATAATTTCAACACTTTTTTAAACAATCCATATTGCCAAATGATACACTTAAAACTTGACATATGATGCCTATCGATAAGCCTACATTAGTTTATGTACAAATAATTTTTTGATGAAATTTCAATGTTAAAATATACTTTTTATGAGCCATACCTATGTGAATATAGTTAGTCTTTTTGATGTTTACTTGATGTTTGATTTCAATTTTATTTTTATATATTATATGAAGTACAATTAAAAATATTTTATGAAATCTATTTAAACTATTATTTTTATGTTTTTAACAGTTATGGTGCCAGCTATGATTTAGCAGCTCGACGCAAGAACGCCACTCGTGAATCAACAGCAACGCTTAAAGCTTGGCTTAACGAGCATAAAAAAAATCCATATCCAACCAAAGGTGAAAAAATCATGTTAGCAATTATAACGAAGATGACACTGACGCAGGTCTCCACATGGTTTGCAAATGCACGGAGACGTTTGAAGAAAGAAAATAAAATGACTTGGGAACCAAAGAATAAAACTGAAGATGATGATGATGCTATGTTATCCGATGATGAAAAAGAAAAAGATATACTGGAAACAGACAAGCCACCTAGTCTATATGGTGGTGCAAATGAGCATCATAAAGGTAAATATTTTAAAAACTTTTCTACAACAAAAATGCTTAATATAAGAATTCCACGGGTTATAATGTTAAATTATGCTTAAATTATTAATACTGATATATATATAATCATGTGTATCATATTATGAACCGATATTCAATCTTAAATAATAATGAATGCTTATTCTTATTGTCGTTATTTCGCTAAGAAAAGCTTATTCCACAATATTTTCTTTCTCTGCTCATTTTGTATACAATAATATTTAAGTAACTTAAAGAACTTAATCTACCAAAAAATCAAATAAACCTTTTGGCACTTAATTCATTATTTGCCATTTAAATTGACCTTCTTAACGAACTGTTTTATGTTTAGTGAAATATCTTACTGCCCTACGTCTACCTCAGCCAAGACTCTATTCGCACACAATTATTCGTTTGGGGCGAGTAACCCTCCATTAAAGACATACAACGACATGACAAAGCCAACAACGTTGCGACCCATTGTGTGGGGTTGTTGTGCCATTGTTTTTCAAGTGTCACAGTTAAATTAGATCAACGTTTTGCTAAGATTTCTTCAGTTTGTTGTATGATTTTGTAAGACGTTCAGTGAAATAAACAAACAAAAACAGAAACCACGGCAAAACAGTTTAAATGTAACCAACCGCCCCAATTGGAATTTTTGTGGCGGCTCTTTCGTCTTAAGTGAAATTTATGTGGCGCGACTTTTTGTTACTCATCGTCTTTTTGCTTGCATGCTGTTGTTGACTTCAACTTATCTCCCCCGGAAGTTAACAGTAGCACAGTAGCATATGGTAAAGTGGGTTGCTTAACAGAGCCTTAAGTGGCCTTGATGAAGTTTCTGACTTCAGTGAATTAAGTTAACTTTACTGCAAAAATCACAGAAGTAAAATCAGTAACATCAGCTCAAAGTACCGAAAATTTAAGCATTTTGTATTTGTAAGAGTAAGAGTATTGCAAGTTGGGGTTGTCCGATTTAACGCCTATAAATAATTTTAGTTCAAAAACTTTAAGATTAAAAAAAAAAAACTTTTCGGATATTGTATAAAAATGTTATTATATATTTATATTGAATTAAATTAAATTGAAATTTATTTTTATTTTAAGATGGTCATCATGTCAAATCCGAGCATAATAGAGAAGAGAAAGAAGATGATTTAAATGATGATCGCAAACCTGAAAATCTTGCAACATTGCGCAGTGCTTATAATTCTGCATATGCTCATCATTCTAGTTATCATCCTTACCAGCAACAACCACCACATGCGGCAAGTTATTATCAACAAGGAAGTCAACATTCTAGCTATGGAGCACATGATACCAATACTTATAATGGTTCAAAAAACCAGCTGAGCAGAGACTGTGGTATACCAATTCCAGCTACAAAACCGAAAATCTGGAGTTTGGCAGACACAGTCGCTTGCAAAACACCACCACCAACAGCTTATCTAGGACAACAATATTACCAACAGCAGCAACAACAGCAACAGCTACAGCAACATCAGCAACAACAAACACAACCTCAAATGCACACACAACAGCAAACCCAACACCAACAACGGGAAATTATATCAAACAATGGCAATGTACACAATATGCAGGCACATCCACATCCTCAACCGCAGCCAGCGCACAATTCGCCACTGAATATGATGAGCAATTACGTAAACGGATCGCCATATTCGCGGATACCTACGGGGTATACAGGACCGGCCAGTTACAACAGCAGCAGCAGCAGCATCAATATGCCTATCACCCCTACTACACCACCCATAATACACGCACATCAACAGCAACAACAACACCAACAACACTTTCAGCAACAACAATTGCAACAACAGCGTATGGGGTTTACAGAAATACAACCCGATACACCGCCGCAAACACCACCCAATATGAAAGTGGCGAACAGCAACGGTGTAATGACAGCAGCAGTTGTGAACTCTCTGCTAACCGGTCCTACGTCGTTAACACCTACGACCGGTAATTGTTATGGTAATGGGAGTAAAACACATCTTAGTTCGCATTATAATAATAATCTATCACCTGTTAATGGCGCTTCGTGTAATAATAATTTTATGAGTAGTCTAACTACAACACGTGCAGAAGTCTAGAAATATATTGGGGCATTTAATTGGGATAATACAATAACCAAAATAGTTTTCTATTAACTCGGGACATATATAGATCTGTATAATATATAGGAGTTCAAAAAAATTATTCAACATTATCAATTTGTACCCAACATTAAGAAAGACTTTATGCTATACAAATATAATACCAGAGTTTAGGTTAGAAATTATGATATATTAAATTTTTAATCAATTTTAAAACGATGTGTGAAGGACAATATAAAAACACTACGTTTGGCAGTTCTTAAAAATCAATGACAGAAAAAAATCTATTACATTTATGATAAAAGGAAAGTTCCTTAAGATTTTGAGGTTGTAAAAGTTGATAGATCTGGTATCTAGAACATTCTAGCATAAAGATATGATTTTTTCAATCAAAATTTTTCAAAATGTGCTCTGCAATACAATTCCCAGTGCTTCGTTAAAACTTAGAATTTATTTATTTAAAAATAATGTAGAACTGTTAGTCAAGATTTAGTGCTTCGCATTAAATTTCGAATTTCAAAGGTGCTCCCCTACTGAAACAGTTTAAGAACATCTACTTGAGATGTAGGATATTGTATTTGTGTAACTTAAGGAGAGTTGAAATTTGTTTGTTTTGGTTAAACTATAAAATGCAATAACTTCAGAAGTTTAAATATAGAAAGTGTGTAAGTTACATGTGTATGAAGCAGATTTGTTTATTGCAAACAAAGTTTATAACTTTCTGTAAATATATTTCTGTTATAATCGATTTGCTTTAAAAAGTTCCAAATAAAAACAATTTAAATGGGAAAAGTGCAACAATAAAAAAAATATGCAATACAATTAACTGAAGTTACAAGATTTCAGTCTATCTTCAATATTATCTAAATAAAATGAATATAAATTTATTTAATATATTTTAAATAAAAATAAATTTTTTTTCGTACTATACTTTTTCTTTCATAATATTCAAAAGCTAATTACTCTGAAATATATTAAGCACTTAATATATAATTATACAAAAATATGTATAAAAACAATTTATACTTTAAGCCATAAATTACTTAATTTTATGTCTCATATTTGCATTTTTTAGTACACAATCGCACATACATATATACTACTTACTTAGCTATAAATTTAAAATTAAGCCAAACTGCGAACTCACACGAAAACGAGTTGAATTGTAATAATTTACTTACATTGAATTACATTAGTCATGCGGGTTTAATGACTTGAAAAAACTACAAAACATTCATAAATTGTTTGTTTAATAAAATGGATTTAAATCCTAAAATGGCTTAATCGAGCGTAAGATTCATTAATCTTGCCATAAACACATGGACGTACTAGTACATACAATAACATACCTGCATACATAGGATGTACTCGTCTGCATATGTGAGTATGTGCTAAAATCCGTGCTTACCGTGAGTTTGTTTTAAGTTATCAAAATTGTACTATAATTACTTTTAATTACTTAATAAATACTTATTCTAGAATTAAGCGTTAAACGACAACAACAAAATCGTAAATAAAACTAATTCAATACAAACATGTGTATGAGTATTTGTACAACAACTAGACTAATTATGAAATGATTCATTAGCTCATAAAACTTTCTATAAAATAGACCTGCGACTAAGTAAACACAAGTATATAACTTAGGATGTAAGCACTTAATTAAATATATTAAAAAAGCATATATAAAATTAATTGAGATAAAATTTGTAGTTATTAAATATCATTTGTGACTTAAGTATACATAATTTAAATAAACGTGTAATATCATTATTATTACTATCATTATAATTTTTATTACTCTTAGTAATAAGGCAAATATAAACTGTGATAAATTTTAAAGTAATTTGTATTGTTCATTTAAATTTTCAAAAATGTATAATAAATACAATTATAAATAAATAATTCAAAATATGTGCTGACGTTTTTTTTATTTCTAAATGAGTTATTAGGTGATCCCTCAAACATTAACGATTATTATTCATAACGAAATAGTTTAATCAACAGTTTGTAAGGTATTTGGGGATACGTCTGGAATGCTATGATATACTTCAATTTAATAAAGCAAAAACATAGACCATCAGTTTTCCAACTTTGGTTTTACTTGATAAAATTCAAATATGTTAAGCAAGTGAAAGTCTGTAATAATTGCCATTCCAAAAAATAAAGGCACTATGTTGTTATTTTCTACACAGTTCAATCAATTGCATCTGGGCTTAAACAGAAAAAAAAATGCAACCGTTACATAGCTATTAAGGGAGTCTGCATATATACCTCAGAATTTTCAAGCACTGCAAATACTATTAGGATATAAATACTACTAAGATACCAATCTAAAACACTAAGTAATACCACCAAAGCTTCTTCGTTTAGGTTTGGCAAAGCTAAAGTAGCAGGCTTATATCCCAGCGATTTTACTTGTCTGTTGTAATATTACTTTACTTTTATTGCAGTCATTCTTTCTCCCAATGGAGTATAAGGTCTACCGTTGTGATATTACCATATCTGAATTAAGAGACCCTTCGCCGATACATATACATACATATACATAGAATCTTATAAATAGCAAAATTTGTGATAAGTCCATTTTAGAGATTTCCTTCAGATTACTTAAGAAGGTTTTTCTTAAAGTATTTATAAGAGTTCTGCTTAAAGTTCCTTAATACTATGTAATAAATTATTTTAATCATGAAGACTTGATCACATCTCTTATGATATCTTTTAATTAGATGTCCAATTTTACGAGCTATTAACTGAGTTACAGACAAAACAATAAGTAAAACAATAAGTTTTATATTATATATTTACAATTTTAATATATAAATATAAGTGTATATAGTATTGCAGAAAAACTTGAATAATAACTAAAAATGAAGTTCGATTCATCAAAATTGAGCTAGAATTTAGTCGTTATGTAAATGCTTGAAAATTCTCCGACTAAATTTTGGTTGAAGGAATCAGTAATAAATAATTTGAAAGTATACTGTATTATCAACTGAGGACAAACTGAGGGTTTCTTAATTGAAGTTATAGGATTTCCCCAATATTGAGGTATTGTTATGTTAAGAAATCATATTTTGAGCATTTGGTCGTCACTTTAAATGTTTCGCTAAATTCAAATTCATGTCATATTCTAAGAGAAATTCTCGAAATTAAATATACTGACCGGAGTTAAGTCATTATCTTCATTAATACCAACCCAGATGTGATGGCTGGTTTTATTTGCGGCTGTTGACTAATACATAATAAATTATAAATATTTTCACTACAGTTTTGACCTATAGTAACCAGTTTTAATACATCTCTTGCTTATATGGATCAGATATATAAGATTAAATGCTCTTTACTTCCATTTTTGTAGTTTTTTGCAACTATCATATAATATTAAGAGTTTAAAGTTAATGAAAATAAATAATTAAATTTCTTAATAAGAAAGCTTTTGTATATTATTGTTTTTTCTCTAAAATTAAATACCTTTACCGATTTAACATCATTTAAATCATTTAATATATCAATTAGTTCAGATTAACAAAAATGGCTTATTGATAATATGTTTCTACATCGAAATCTCTCTGTTCTAAGCGTCTTTCCATAAAATGTTAAAAATCTTGTATTTAATTTAAATTGCATAGCGAGCAAAAGCTTAAGTGCATTCCCTGCATCTTAAGCTTATATACAAGTGAATTGACATATTATTCTTCTTAACATCACTTTTTATAAGTAACCTCTGCTTTCATTCAAGTCAATAAATTTAGTAAAGTAGGCTAAAAAAGAGATGTATAATATATTCAAAATTTTTTTATTATCAAAAAAAATAAAAAATGTAAAGCAGTACATTTTTTTTTTCCAATATTAATAAATTAACTTTTGTTAACCGCATTCAAAATTTTTGTTCAATTATATCGCTTCTGGAGCATCTAAAAATTGTGTTTCGTTTCTACAACGCAAATTGTTTGCAAAATGGATTCCATACCCATAGGACCTACTCGTAGTATATTAGAACAACTAGAACTTGCGGAGCAGCCGGAGTACATAGAGGGTCCTTACATACCACCGAAGAATTTTCGCATGGAGGCTATCTGGGATTTGTTTAAGCAAACATTACGTTGGGGTTATGTGCCACTTATCGTGTACTTGGGTTTTAGACGTGCCCATAGAGCGGGTATGCCTATTTCCCCTTTTCAATTGTTCTGCTAAAATTTTTGCATCTAAATAACAAAAAAATGTCAAACAAAATTTGGGCATCAAAAAAATTTTATATCAACAAAAATCTGGTATGTACAAAACACTGGACACCGGATTTAACAAAACTCTGACATCAAAAAATATCTATCAGCGACTATAATCTGCCCATAAACTTACAAATTTTTAAAGACAAATACTAAGTTTGCGTTATATGGTGTAACTTATTTATAAATATATATTTTTCATAAATATATTTATTAATGTTTTTATAATTAAATATGTGGAAACTATATAATTATAAAAACATTAATAAAAAAAAAACTTTGAGTCTTTTCGTAAACATTATATATTAAATTAATTGTTGAGTTAAACACAAGGAACAACATTAGGACTGCTGTTATTTATTTATGTGCGTTTCATTGGTTAAATGTATGCACAAAATACCTTATTGGATAAAATTAATGTTTTTTATAAAATTAATTTTTGGTTTTAATAAAATATGTTTTGTCTTACGATTTTTGTGCCGGTATTGCAAGAGTACACGATATAAACGTCACTGTTTTGTCTGTAATGTACTTTAGGGTCGATTGATAAATTTTTACAATATCGCGCAGTAGTTTAGCTAACATTAAATTTATTTTTTATAATGCGCAAAGATAACCCGAGGACTACTTAATATCCACACCATATTCTTACTCTCTAGTTACTGCAATATATTGTACCAATTCGTCAAGATAATCGAAATTAATATCTAAGAGGTCAATGCTTTGCAATGATTCAAAGATACTCGTAGTTGTTGCAAAACTCTTCGATTCTAAACTCTATTTTAAAGTTGCACATATAATCAAAGTTCCATATATGATGTGAGACTGAGAAAAGTAGATACTTTTAAAGTAAACGCGTAAAGAACAATATTTAAGTAATGATCTGAAAAATATCAAACGCAAATGATCTGATAAGAGTAAAGTCAAGGGTTTTTATTTATTATACCTCCAATCAAATTCGAAGAAATTAACAGTTTTTAAGTGGCCCCTTAATCAATTCTGACAAGTTAACCATTGAATTAAGTTAATCCTTCGATTGTTTGCCTTCTTCTAATGTCACAAATTGTCAAGAAGAAATGTTTAAGTAAATAAATAACCCCAAATATATTTTGACATTTCTTAAGTAATTAATTGAAAATCATTAATAAAAAATAAGAAAGCAAAGCATGCAACCGAAAAATATTTTTATCTTTAAAATGCTAAATAGAATGCAAGGAGGCAAAAAGGGTTACTGCAGTGAAATTTCAAATGAAATGATTTGGAATTGAGGTGCAGGAGTGCAGCCTGCAGTGTTGAGCTACTGAGACTTCTACGTTTTTTTTATTAATGATCTTAATTTTTCTAATGATCATCAGTTGAGCTAAGATCCTCATCAGTATCAAAAATGAATAATGCTGCAACGTATAATAGGTGCATAAAATCACTCAAATAAAGAGTAGGAGACTGCCGTGTGTTTAAAAGGAAAGCATCAAAAACAATA